GCGCAAATGGCGCCGAGCCAAAAACAAGTGTGCATATTCGTAATCGGTATGTCGGTTAACCCCTATATGCAAGTTTTCATCGACTTTGGTGAAAAAAGTGGTGAGCGCCAAATTGGCGCATAATGGCGCCAAATGACGCCAGCGCTCGAGGGGTGTGATAAATCGTGCATCAGCGAGCATCGAATGAATCTGTTAGGCAACGTTTCGCGAAAAAAATTTATTTGAGTATCATAAATGTGCCTGGCTTTTTTTTTTTCGCGTTCTACTCTATATTTTTTAACTCTCTCCAGTACATGTTTTTTCCGTCGTTCACCCTACGTGTTTTTGCCTTCATAGGAGCGAATTTTATGTTCCCCCCCGCCCCCCCTGCATCCTCAAATCCCTTTTCCGAATGACGCCATAAGCGTTCTGCCGATCTTACCATTAGATCGATCGTCGGCAATGTTAGAATTTCCTATCAGCAAGGGTCTCGTCAATTAGAGGCGTAATCATGTTCTGGGAAGATTCCAGCGCCATGAAATTAGTGCAGCCTGTTACAGAAATACCCTCACATTTTCTCTATGAACCTCTGCGCAATCGACAAAATAAATGCCACCTTAGAGCGAGAGTCGTCATATCACCGTTGAAGGCCTCCAATATTTTCCTTTTTTCGTTTTCCGATTTTTTCTAGGGGTTGGATTTCTAGGGGTTCCCTTGTAGCATTAACCCTATGGGTTCAAGGGTAACTTTCGTTGTGACATCCGATTTCAGGTCACTGGTGTTGTAATTGCTCCAGCGCTTGGATCGTGGGTGACGAGTGCCAGCCAATGCCCGCTTTGAAGTATGCAAATTGCGCCCGTACGGCGCTGGGCATCGCGCGTCAGTCCTGCGTTGTTCTTGCCGCCAGCGCAGTGACTAGTCAACGCCGGCCGGCCCGGTTTCCATTTTGCTACTATGCGGCGTTTCGATCCCATTTTGCACCTTCTATTTCGCTCGTTGATCAATATACGATTTGCGGAGATTGTTGCCAAAACGGGCCATTTGAGCTGGTATCGATTAGTAGCCTTTTTTGTGACAACTGAGGTATTACTTGTGCGCTGAATCATCCACGAGCGAACGCTGATATCGTCAGGTTGAAAATAGCTCTTTTCTCTATTTGTTTAGCATTAGGTTCCCCCTTTGTCGTTAGGTCCGCTCCTGCGGTACTGTGACGCACACTTCTTCCTCTTGAATGCCTGTTCAAGATAAAGCGCCATTTATGCTTCAAATAGCTTGTAGCATGGTAAGCGTAGACTGAAAACTTTGCGTAATGCGTACCTTGAGTACTGCCAGAGGGATGGTTCGAAATTTTGTGATGGAATAAGGACAGTCCCGCGCCGCCTAATGAAGGCGGCCTGCGGGCACAATAGCTTCTACCCTCCTTAAGTGTTCCGATCACCAAAACTTACAACCTATTCTTTCACTATTAGATGGAATTAGCATTGGATGACGCGAAGAAACGATTAGTAGACGAGAGGCGGCAGAATCTCGCTTTGCTAGTATCAGGGCACATCATTGGTTGGGGATTTTAGTCTAGTCTGTCTGTACGTCCTCCACCGCCTTTTTTTGCGGGTTGTTACGAGCCAGCCCCCTCCTCTGCCCCTCTGCTCCCCTCTCTCGAAATCGTACCACCAGGGGCGGGGCGGGGTGGGGGGGGGGGTATAATGCTCATATGAAACAGGAAATAGCACGGCGACCCTCCCCCCCCTCCCCACCAAAATCTCACGATTTTCCCCAAAAACTTGTCTGCCACATTTCCAAAATTCAGGAAGTTCCCTATTTTTCCCAAAAAATTTTGCTGTCGAGGGGGAGGGGGATACTACGCATGAAGCAGGAAAATCACGATCACGACACGAAAAGTGAAACCAAACCGATCTAGAAGGCCAGAAACTAAATACGACCCCTCCCCTCCCAACAATGAGAGAGTGCGACCTCCCCCTGTTACAACGCCCGTGAAGCGAGAAAAATCAGCTATCAAAATAAATTTTCCCCGGCCCAAATACTACCCTTTTTCCTTTCTGCCAAATACGATCCTCCCCTATTGGGGATTCTCCGACAACGATGAGCCCTGGCTAGTATGAAACGAGCAGGCTCGTAGAGGCTGCCGGGTCTTCACTCAGGGCATCCTCCCTGATTTTTTCGGCTTGTTTTCTTCACTTCCCGACTGCAAGATTGTGACTGGACGATTCACAATATCCGACCGCCAGGTTTGTCTTCAAGTGTCCTGAAGTTTTCTTAAGGTTTTTCTTCGAAACCACTTGAAATATTCAATTTTGTGGTTGGGCAAAATTGTTTTAGCGATAGCGGAATGCGGACTATGGCTCGTTGTTTCTTCGCGATCTGATTAAAGGTCATTGAAGTTCGTTCTTTGCGAACCGGTCGTAGACATAGTTTGTTTCTGTCGAATCGTATCAAAGGGAAAGGAAATTGCATGACAGTTGAGTTGAGGCGCTTTGTTGTGAGTTTTGAAGGCAAACCCCGATGTGACATATTGTGTTATGGGCGCTCAATCACAATCTTTGACTGCTCCAAGGAAAAACGGCAGACAAAAATTGTAGTGGACACCACTATTATATGGCCCTTTCGTGTCCTTTGTACGAGTTTTTCGGACCTGCTGGTTTATACCGCAAAACGATATTCTGCCTCTGATTCATCTGTCGTTTTCACGCCTCACCCAATGCCACTAATCAATCTAAATAGGGTTTAGGTAAAAAAAAAAAAAAAAACGCGCTGTCAAAATTGAACTCGTAACAGAAAATTGGCGCTTTGGTGGGCGGAGCAACTGGGAAGGCGTCAGACTGCTACTGAGGAGGGCCACAGCGCCTCACTTACTGTGAACCCACGAAAAAGAGAAAGTCCTGGGGAATGCGGGCCAGGCTTTTTGAATAAGTAAGGCAACGTTCGGACTTCACGACGACAGCGCTTTATCGCGGCGCTGACGCGTCGAAGCATAGATAGCATGTACATCGATCGCGTCAAACGCGCGACCGAACCGCTGCCTTCGCGAAGTCTCACGAATTGATTGGAAGCGGAGACCATCTCTAAATTATAACTATTTAGGACTAATTGGAAGTGGTGGCTCAGAGCTCCGCCGAGTATGAGTCCGTGAAATGGTTTTTGTAGTTAAGACCTTGACCTCAGTTGTTTAGTGAGATTCGTTCGACTGAGGGAACTTTGTTACTGATGGGACCTTAAGCGCGCGTGGCGTGTTGTCGTAATAGGCATTTCTTTACTGCTGTTATATGGGCTTACTGATTTACTGACAACTGCATTCGTCTGGTTCTTTGGCCAGTATTAAAAGTTCGTTTTTTAAACGTATGGTTGAATGCATACAATTATGTACTGGGTGGTCTGCTTGGTCGAAGTTTGGTGGGAGCAGAGAGTTGAGGGCTTTACGAGCTCGTTGCAGCGCTCTCGTGCTATTGATGACGGCTGTATTGAGGGGGATAATTGGATATGGAGCCTGGTGCTGCTTGAGTATAGTTTGTTTTGGCTGTGTTTAATGGAAAATACGGTTTCTAGTGAATGCTATGCTAGGATTTATTTTATTCAGAGCAGTGCTCGACCGTCATATTTATCAAGGAGGGGAATCCGTGGGTGAGTTCATCAAGAGGAAAGTATGCATATCGATCCATAGGTTCCACGATTTAAGAAAATCGAGGGGTTAGATATTGATTGGTTTGATGTCCATTCTCAACGCATTGCCGTCTCAGAATATCTCACTGTCAGATCAGTGGGTATTTTTAACTATCGTCCTTTCCGAAACTGTCACCTTTCCGCGACATCGAGTGTACTGCACATTCGCAACACGGCCTGGGTAGTCCCTTGCAATACATAACTTGAGGTTGTTAATGCGCAGAACGGTTTAGGGGGGTGCATCGAATGATGATATTTAGCGACGTTTGTGCAGGCTACCTTGTGAAGACTTGTAAATTCCTGTTGCTAACGTGGCTCATTTGCACCATTTCAGAACTTCACAAGAGTTTACAGGTCCTACAAAAGTGAAACCTGTTATTCAACATGAACTAACAAAAAGAACTAATGAAAGTCAGAGTACCATTTCCGACCGAACAGTACCCTTATTAATTCTCAGTAAGAAAGACTGCCGTGATCACAAGAAGAAGAGTCTTTCAGGTTAGAAGCCTATTTTAAAACGGTGTGTTGCATGTTGTAGAAGTAACTGTGGGGATCACCAAAGTGTAGTTCATTTGGCTGCGCACCAGGAATTGTCAAGAAGGTCCAAAACAAGTTGTGCGGGTTAATGATGAACCTGTCCATAGAAGGCGCTTCTGTTTCTTTTTTTTTTGGACCGAAATGCAGTGCTTTTGGACACGTTTCTTTTCGAAAAGAAGGTTTCGACTTATACCGTCACAGAAAAATAAAAATCGCTGAAATGCAAAATTTGGTCACGTTGAAGATTTGAACCATTAACCTACTGTTCACCTTCCTTGGCGCTCCCGGGAGCGCCATGCAAAAGTGAACTACGCCACCATAACCTGAGTGGCCCCTTTGTCAGATATTTTTTCTTTTGGCAGTACTCTCTTGAAAAAGTCGCTTTGTTTACCAATGCGTAACGATTTCTTCATGGCTGTACTTATGTTTTCAAGTGTCTGGTTCGCGTCGCGATGGCGGAAGCAAAGTCCGCGCGCGTAATGGGCCTGTTGATTTCGCATGCCGTTTCGTTGTTCTTTGTTTACGCAGCACATGTTTCACGCGTCTGCGCTCGTCTGAAAGCGCTGTCCATTCTGCCTTCTATCGATCCTGGGTAGTCGCAGCGCCAGTACATTACTATTTCTTCAGTTTGTCAATCCTAAATGCATCGTGTTGATCCATATGCTCTTTCCCGAAAAATTTCATTTTTGTTTGGCTTAAAGCTTTTACGCGTCATAAATGTTTGCGTGAGTGATTTCGTTGCGTACGCCATCGCTTAAGTTGCCATTTGTATTATTCAGAACAGGCTTTGCAGGTAAACAGCCTTCATCATGTCCACTCGTAAGACGAAGACAACTCGCTCGTCAGGTCCTATTAGAACTGAGGTCAGCTTCAGCTCGTCATCGACGACTGGCGATGATTCGTTGTAAGTTCATTTCCACTAAAACAAGTATAAGTTCCTTCCCCTTCCACGTTAATCTGATTTGTTTCAGCTCATCGCTTCTTGAAAATACCAGAACGCAAGAAAAGGAACAGCTCACCGGGTTGAACAGTCGTCTTGCCACCTATATTGATGTGAGTTTCTTTAGAACTATTGTGAAGGTGGTGCCTGCTGCGGTGTGAATCAATGAGAACGAGAAAAAAGTGCATTTTTTTTGCAGAAAGTGCGTCAGCTGGAGGCGGAGAACAGCCGTCTGTCCGTGCAGATCAAAGATATTGAGATTATTGAGAAGAAGGAAAGGAATAACCTTGCTGATCGCTTCGAAGCCGAACGGGTGAGTTTCAGAGAGCTTTGAAACTTGTTGCTGGGTTTTCGGTTGTCCACCACAGCCTATTGTTCTTCCTAAGAGTCTAAAGACCGACCTATTAATGTGCAGAATCCTTTTGACCAATCCCCCCCCCCCCGAATTCTTGTCACATTAACGTCAAGGGCGATTTTTGTAGGAATTTTTCTGCCAAGTGTGTTTTGTGGAAATTTTTTCTACCGACGGTAGTCGTATATACAGGGGGGGGGGGGGCAAAAAAAGTCACTTTGCCTTCATTGACTTTCGAGGCGCTGTAAGTACACTTTAGTAAATTCTTATCGGACATTTCCACCACCATATTAAAGAGCATATTAAATACTATCATGACACTCCGCCACAGCCTTCTGGACGAGCGCCATCGAGAGATTCTGGCACGCGACCGCGATGTGGTGCCTGAGATCAGCGAGATAGTCGATTTCTCCGCCACCGTAGACCACCCTATTGAACTCCGCCCGAACTGGGTAATTGAGTGGGATTCAGGTCAGGGACATACTTCAATATTACCATCT